CGAGGGTCATTCCTCGCAGCCAGTGTGGACTTCAAGGCAGCCCGCAAGCGAGTCAAGGTCCACCGCTCGGAACAAGGCCTCCTCCTATTCATGTTCGAAAAGATCCTTTACAGATACGTCGTTTGCCACTTTGGAGCTAAGTTTTCAGCCTACTGGTGGCAGCGAGTGGGAGGCCTTATTACTCGCATTGCTCACCATGCCCTCGCCTTCGCCCCGCACAAAGCCTGGCTTTATGTCGATGATCTCCTTTCAGCCTTGCTCCGCGCCTTCGCGCCGGAACTCTTATTCCTCCTCATAGCCACACTGTCAAGCCTTGCCGCTCCGATTAGCTGGAAAAAGGCCTCAGTAGGGGACAGCCTGGTGTGGTGCGGCTGGCACTTCAATTTTCGCCTGGAAACCGTCGAGCTTTGCGAGGCCAAACGAGCCAAGCTTTGTGGCCAGCTTAAAGCCTTATTGGCACGCAAGAAGGTCCCCAGGAAAGACCTAGAAGCCTGTATAGGCCTACTCATGTGGGCGACAGCCATCAGCAAGGTTCTGCGAGCCCACGTAGCGCCTCTATACAGTGTCCTCAACAGCCCTCCAGGCAGCAATTGTTCTATCTCTCCTAGAATGTGGCCAGCCTTCCTCCACAGCCTCGACTCCAGAGCTGTCGTCTGCAGGCTCATACAAGGAGTCAACTTGCCGCTCAAGGCCCGGATCATTGAGGTCGGCAGTAGACCAGTGCACTGCAAAGCCGACCTCCCGCCACAGCCTAAGTCCTCGGGACCTACTTGGGTCGCATCTCGGATCCCACCTGCCCTGAGATCAAGCTGACCAACACGGCCCAGGACAGCCTACGGCGGCTACTGCCACGCATTGAAGCCATCCCGACCACAAGCCTATCACTTCCGCCCCTTGTCGCTTGCCTAGCCAGAGCTGACGCCATGGCTGAAGGGGACAGAATCGGCATCGGGGGATGGATCACCACCAAACACAGCATGGCCTGGTTTGCCGAAGCCTGGACCATGGACGAGGTGAGGAACACATGGCCTTTTCTCACCAAGGATGCCCAGAAATACATTGCCTGCTTTGAGACGCCGGCTCAGCTTGCACTTGCCATGACAGCCCGAGAATGCCACGCCTTCTCGCAGTTTTCGGTCTGCTTGCCATCGCAGAGCGACAACACGCCATCCGAGGCGGGCATCAACAAGCTTTTCACCACCAGCTGGCCCCTCTCGCAGTTCCTACAGCTTATAGCTTCATGGTCATCCTGCCATGGAGTTGACCTACAGGTGTCTCACGTTGCAGGAGCACACAACCAATGGGCGGACGACCTCAGCCGAGGTCGGCTTCAAGCCTTCAGCCACAGACCTCAAGAACGAGTGCGGATCACGGCCTCCCAGGCCACTTGGTCTGGATCCCCAGACACAACGAGCCCTTTACTGCCCAGACCGGAGTGACGGCTTCGCCGAGACCGACTCCAGCCAGCCTGCCGAAGTGAAAAAGAGGACCGCTGCCTTCCCGCCTGCTTGTGCTGCTACACTTGGCCTGTTCCTTGATGTGGCTCTTTATGCCTGCTCAGGTCCACCTCCACCGCCCGCGGTGGGGGATACTTGCCTGCTGCCTTACCGGTTGGATCTGTCCCTGAAGTGGGGGAGTTTATGCCTTGGCTAGCCCTCTAGACCTTGGCACCTCCGGGCTAGCCGCAGAGCCTTACAGATCCAATTCGGTATAAAAGATGGCAGCAAGTGATAGAGCAGTGCAAGCCTTTCTAGAACGTTTCGTGTTTTTGTTCACGTATGTTTTAGAAGGCATGTGAATCTATAGCACATCGCAGCACTGGCTCTAGCACTTGAGTCTTCTCGAAAACCCCGCCCGCCCACACCTAGGTGCCAGCCTTCGGCCGTGGCCTTAGTCTTTTCTAGCCTCGGCTGCAGTCCTACTCAGCCCTGGGCCAAGTACACACTTCGCCCCGCGTGGCCTCCGCGAGGCCTAGTGCTCGCAGAAGTCGAGCGTGCTCCTTAGCCACGAGAAGCCTGACACAGGTCTTCTGGTCTCGCCTTTGTTTGCGCCTTGTCAGCCGTTGCCTAAACTTAACCCTAAGCGCTAGCTACTTTGCCTCAACTTGCCCCACCCTAACACCACCGCGCCCAGGTGCTCTCGTCTTCATCTTCGACCAGGCCTTCTGATGCGTTGACGCCTTTTCTTTTCACCTAAGTCTCACGGAGCTCGGCACTTGCCCGCCACGGGCAAATCGAATCGCCCTCAAAGCCAAAATTGCCACCGCTTTCGGCTACCTTAGCCTTCAGCCTTACATTTCTCAGCCACTGAGACTCGGCTCTACAGGAGCCTTCGTAGCAGCCTTCTAGGAAGTTTCACTGACTTCTCACGAAGACTAGCCTTGGGGGAGTTTATGCCTTGGCTAGCCCTCTAGACCTTGGCACCTCCGGGATAGCCGCAGAGCCTTACAGATCCAATACGGTATAAAAGATGGCACCAAGTGATAGAGCAGTGCAAGCCTTTCTAGAACCTTGGCAGTGTAGCCCTAGGGTGGGGGCTCCCAAAACCTGCAGAAGCGGTATCATAGCCAAGGCCTTAAAAATTCTACGGCTTGTTTCGCAGGAGGCGCCTAAGTAGGCGTATCGGTGGCTCTGGGACGCCCGCCTCCATGCTTGCCTTTTGACGTCTGCATCGGGCGGTGCCTTTTCCCAACGGGGCAGGGTCGCAGTTAGCAAGCGCGAGAACGCTGCTTCTCTTTCGGCCTCGGGTTTGGCCTCTGCTTTGTCGTTGCTCGGTTGTCGCCGCCCGAATTGGTCGCGACATTTCGGTGAATGTTGCGGTTAGTAAGAGCGAGAACGCCGCTTCTGCCACTTCTGCATGCCCGCCTCTTAACGTCTGTTTCGGTCTGTGCCTTTTCTCAACAGGTTGCAAGGTTGCAGTTAGTAAGCGCGAGAACGCTGCTTCTCTTACGGCCTCGAGTTTGGGCTCTGCTTTGTCGTAGCTTCGTCGTCACTGCTTGGCATTGGCCGCGCATCGGTATATGTTGCGGTTAGTAAGAGCGAGAACGCCGCTTCTGTCACTTCTGCATGCTCGCCTCTTAACGTCTGCTTAGGTCCGTGTCTTTTCTCAACTGGTTGCAAGGTTGCAGTTAGTAAGCGCGAGAACGCTGCTTCTCTTACGGCCTCGTGTTTGGGCTCTGCTTTGTCGTAGTTTCGTCGTCACTGCCTGGCATTGGTCGCGTCACCATCGGTATATGTTGCGGTTAGTAAGAGCGAGAACGCCGCTTCTGTCACCTTTGGCTTGCCACTCACTGCCTGGGTGCCTTCACCTTACGTCGTCCGACCGTGGATTTTGGTGTGCACGATCGTGACGGAACAAAACACAGGGGTTGTCCGTTGTCTGTCGAGACTGGAACGGCAGCCGGAGCCTGGACTTGGCTCCACCTGTTGTTTTGGGCGGCTCTGGGCGACGGCCCATTGTTGCTCCTGACCGGTCGCTGAGGCCCCGTAGCTCGTGCTGAACGGCCAACACCGGCAAAGCCTGTGCGCCGCAGCTAGCTCTTTTGCCTCTCTTTAGCGAGCCGCCCCGTTTCACCGCTGTTTTGCTTGGTTTGTTGGTTTGTCTTGTTTGTAGGGACCGAGTGCTACAGCCGTAGTCGACGAGGCCCGCCCACGCCAAAAAAATCCCTGGGTGCCTGTTGGTCGACAACTCTTGACCTCGACCTTGCACCCGATGCGCTGATTCACTGCACAAGGCCCGTGGGACATCCGATGGCTGAGAGCACCTCTTGGCTCTTTTCGGGTGGCGGCCAGTTCGCACAGTCTCAATGCTGAGATGGGATGCGTAGCTCGTCTTCGAGTGGCTGAGCAACCTGAAGGAGCGCACACATTGCGCTGCGCTGGCGTCATTTCGCTTTTTTGTTGCCTTTCAGTGGCGAATTGCCAGCCGTGCATCCGATTCGAGGCCTTTCGAGGCTCTAGTGGCTGCCGGCATTATTCATGGCAAGGGACTTGCGCAGCGCCATCTGTGGTGAGGATCAGACGGATTCCTGCATTGGTGCCTCACCAACAAGGCACGAGGGACGTCCGTTGTCCGACGGGACTAGAACGGCGGCCGGAGTCTTGGACTTGGGCTCCACTCGTTGCTTTGGGTGGCCTTGGGCCGACCCATTGTCACTGAGTCGCTGAGCGTGGCCGTTTTTGATTCGCCGAACAGCTTTCTGCTGACTAAGTCCGCACGCTGCAGCAGACACACGTTGCCATGTCTTAGGCCCGTTTCACCGCTGTTTTCTTGTGTTTGTGTTTATTTAGTGTAGTTTTCAGGGACCGAATGCTACTGTCGTCGCCAACGAGGCCCGCGGACGCGAACAAAGCAGAGTGGCCCTCGTTCTTCTGCCCAATTTAAGTTTTTCAAACGGAAAAAGTCCTGGAATTCCAGTTTTGCAGGAAAAAGCTAGTCGCATTCGCTTTTTTTCATGCCAGTGTTTTAAAATGTGGCAAACAAGGTGGGGATTTGCGAGGAATTTTCCGCGCCTTCTGACGTAGTCGCGGTGGGATGCGGAGCAGCTTAAACTGCAGTGGTTGCAACGAATTTTCTACTCCATGCGACGTCTTGATAAATCGTTCTGACATCTTTCCTGCAAGTGAAATGTTCAATCCCCCGCTGCGCTAGCTGTCAAGAAAGCAAGCAGACGTGGATTGGAGGGCTTTGGATTCCAAAGTGCAAGCAGCGCAGCAAACGCACAAGAAACGTAGGACATAGCTTGCGACATCCACAGTACGTTTGGATCGATGGCTTTGATGTGCAGTGCGAATTCTCCACCAAAACTGCAACGACAGAAGACCCAAGATGTCAATGGTGACAGATTGTGGCTGCGAATGTTTGATCGAGCGTAGAGCATGTGGTTTTCAAAGAATCGAAACAGTACCAATCCACCCGACACCATTCCCGATTTGACTCTAAATTTTTCAAATTCAATCCACTCCGGCCATGAGTCGGTAGTTCCGGTTGCCCCAGCTGCCATGTCAGAGTTGGCCGGTGACGGGGTGATCATCACAATCCAAAAGATCACTGGTGAGACCTTCACAACGAATGCTCGCTTGGAGGACCTCAGTAGGATTGTAGGAGGACTACTGCTATTACTACTGCTACTACTTCCACTGCTACTTTTGAGAGGGCCGTTTGAAGTTGTGGGCCGTCAAAAGCAAAACCCATCTGGAGCCAGGCATGGGCCATTTAAGAAACTCCGGTTGACGAAAACCTTAAACGTTACGGTTCGCAGCTCTAGTTTTCATCATATAGCCCGTAGCATGTATGCTTCAAGGACCTAATGCAGCTTATTTAAGGAAGGTCCCCGACCCCCCTCCCCCCTTACCCCCCTAAGGGTCCCTATGATTAAAAGGCTTGAGGACGGGTTTTGCCCAGAAAGCCCAATACCTCTTAAATAAGGAATATAGCTTAAATCATAATATGAATCCCATTATATTTTAAGGTATATTCCTTAATTAAGGAAGTTAGCTTAAGTCATAATTTGAATCCCCTTATAATTTAAAGTATTTTCCTTCATTGAAGGGCATTGGACTCTCAGAGCGGACAGCTGGGCAGGATTCCGTCCGAGAGGTCAAAGCTGCGGCTCTCTCGGAAGTGGGCCCGGTGCTCTGTCAGAGGCCAGGCGGTAATGACAAGACGAGGGTTTAGGTTGTAAGGTTTAGGGTTTAGGTTTTGGTTTTAAGGTTTAGGGTTTAGGTTTTTGGTTTCAAGGTTTAGGGTTAGGGTCCTGAAACAGCCGTGTAAGCCGGTTTTGGACACATAGGTGCTTTGTGTTGTAGGTTCACACAAGGCTATGCAGCTTTGTAAGCAATGCATGTCCTGTTGTGTGGATGGATGGATGGATGGATGGATGGATGGATGGATGGATGGGCGGAGGGATGGATGGGTGGATCGATGGATGGATGGATGGATTCATGGATGGAGGGATGGAGGGAGGGATGGATGGATGGCAGTTACTTTGTTTTATGCGACGTGCAGACGTATGGCTTTTTCTGAACTCGTGAACAGTTATTGTCGAAAAGAGCCCCAGCGCAACAAACCCTTTCCTTAGTTGTAACAGGCTCGTGCTTTCACCTCAAGGTTTGTAGTGCATATCTACAGCACACAGGTGCAAACGACGTGCTCTGAAGGCGAGCTCTCAAGGTAAACCATCGTCGCAGACCTTGCGCTTTCTAACTGGCTTGTATTCTTACAACAATGTAGGAACAGGGAAAAACATTTCAGCTTGTCTTTGCTACTGCTATTACTAGGACCATCTGCTACTGGCATTAGATGGCGAACTGTGATCTCATCGCCCGACATTGAACCTTATGCCATAAGCACCTCAAGCCCAATCAACCTTGACGGAGGTTGGTATTGCATGATGTGCCAAAGAAGCTCATCTTCGCTCGGACTGCACCTGTCTTCACCCGTCAGATGGAAGAGCTGCTGGAGCGTCTGGAGAAGAGCATGTACACAGAGGTTGAGTGGGGCCATTTGGGGTTCGGGTTTAGGGTTTAGCATGGTGTAGCATTGAGGATGGCGTAGGGTTTTGGGTGCAGTGCAGCAGTGCAGGGAGGTTGGTCTCAACCCATCCGCGCTGAAGGTGCGGGCCTTCTTGCGCCCCCCCCCGCTCTGCCACAGCTTCATCTTGGTGATCCTGCAGCTGATGTCTGCCAGCTCCCACGTGATGCTGCGAACTTCTTCGGGTGCCATGCCCTGGAAGGACCAGAGTTGGGCGAGCTGCTCGTGGGCAGACTGCAGCTTGTCTTATCTTCGGGGGGGATGCCTCCTATAAAGGAGCCCTTTTTGGGTACCATGGGACCTTTATACCCTGAACCCTAAACAAGCCCTTATGGTGCCCTGAAAAGGGGGTTCCTTTGGGGGTGTCATGAACGGCAAGAGATCTGAACCTTCCGCTGCCAAGGCAAAACCATGCTCTCGGACTACTTCCAACTCCGCCCCTTCTGCTGCAATCGAGTGCAGGGGCATGAATCCAGCAGGCATGAAATATGTGGCACCAGCGGTACGATTAGTGTTTGCACCCTCGTTCCGACAACATCCTAAACATCCCCTAAACCCTGAACCTATATCCTAAACCCCGAACCCTATACCCTAAACCCTGAACCCTATACCCTAAACCCTGAACCCCAAAAATCCCCCCAGGTCCAAAAAAGTCTTAAACACACCCAGGCACCCCAAGCCCAAGCTAGGCGCCAACCTGCGCTCGGTGGTCCAAAGCGTCACGGAAGGCGACCTCAGGACAAAACAGGTGCCCTCCAGGGACCCGGGGTCTAGGGTCTAGGGTTTAGGGTTTAGGGGTTCTTAAAGGGGCCTATAAGGGTTCTATAAAAACTGTTTAGGGGGTTTAGGTTTCGGAGAATTAGGGGGTACTTTATTTTGAGGTCCTTGTAATAAGGTTCCTACTACTTAGCGCACCATATTAGGATCCCCTATTCTCGGAAACCCCCAAAACGATAGCCAAAATCAGGGGCCTGTTGTTGCCAAGGTTTAGGGTTTAGGGGTCAGGGTTTAGTTTAGGGTTTGGGGTTTGGGGTCTAGGGTTTAGAGTATAGGCTGCAGGGCTTAGGGTCTGTTGACACGTGCTTCTTCTAAGGGTTTTCATCGAGGGGAGTTTTGTTTCAGGGTTGATAAAACGAGGATTTCAAGGGTCTTGTAAAGGGCATTGAAACAGAATGGTGCGACTACGAGGATACCATTTGGGGAGACCAAAATCTGTAGAGTTTTTTTGGGTTGAGGGTTCTTGTTGAGGATCTTACTGCAAGTTTCCTCAAAAAGGAGGGCAGATCATTTAGTGTATATACCCCTATAATGGCAACCTGAACAAGAATCCAGTCTTTGGTGCGGAAGACTGGTAATAAACGATGCTCAGGATGACGAGTCGAGATTCTTGTGAAGTCTTGTTGTTTCGAGTTTTGCTGTTCATACCCAGCACCCTTTAGACTCTCAGCGTGCATTTATGATCGATCATCATCACATCACTAACATCGTTTTAGCGATCGTCATCCACCCTAAACCCTAAACCCTAAACCCCTAAACCCCTAAACCCCTAAACCCCTAAACCCCAAACCCTAAGTTGTTGCAATACACACAAGCATCATTCTAAGAGTGCGCCTTAAGCCCTAAGCCTGAAGACCCCAGATCGGCCTAGACACCCAAACCCTAAATTCGAAGCCGTGCAGCCCAATAACCCAAACCCGACCTCTCAGACCCTTAGGGTTTAGGGGTTTTGGGTTTTGGGTTTAGGGTTTAGGGTTTAGGGGTTTAGGGTTTAGGGTTTAGGGTTTAGGGCTAAATTCTGAGCCCTAATCTACTAAACCGCCTGAGGTGAAAGCCGCAAAGGCAAGTCTTGAGGAACTCGGCGGCGCGGCCGCCCCGAGCCTCCTCAGCAAGGTGAGCGTGGCTCGGATCCAAAGCATCTTCGCGTGTTTTCCGGTTCAGTAGTAGGGGTTTAAGGTTTAGGGTTTAGGAATCCTTTGATTGTTAATATCACGCTTGCCAACATGGAAGTGACCATGATTATCGCACTGACTATAGCTTTCATGATCATCATGAATACGTCAGTTTTGGTTGTTATCAGCGTCAGTATTGCTGTTTTGGGAAGCTCGGCGCAGGTCTGCTGTCAGATCCTGGCGCAGTTTGCTTTAGAGATCCTCAAATTCCACGAAGAAGGCGGGTGCCGAAGCGAAGTAGACGCCTTCTTCGTTTTTTCGAGAGGGCCCTCTGTTCTGTTTCGGCGCTTCATGTTTCAATGCCTGGGCCTGGGTTGGGATTCTAACAGCTTCCGAAGGTCTTTGACCCGAAATAAACCCCAAACCGTAGACTCCCAGACTACCAAGGCCCTAAAGCCCTAAATCTTCCAAAGCTCCTAAACCCAAACCCTAGAGCCCTAAAGCCGTAAACCGTAAACCCTAAACCCTAAAGCCCGAAATTTTCCAAAACTCCTAAACCCCAAAGCCCTAAAGCATAAACCCTAAACCAGAAGCCCTAAAGCCCTAAAGCGTAAACCCTAAACCAGAAGCCCTAAAGCCCTAAAGCCCTTAAGCCCTAAAGCCCTGAATCGTAAACCCTAAACCCTAAACCCTTAAACCATAAACCCTAAAGCCCTAAATCTTCCAAGACTCCTAAAGCCCTAAAGCCCTGAATCCTCCAAAACTCCTAAACCCTAGGTCTGCCTCGGTGAGACCTGAGTTTTGTTTGGCTACCGGGGAGGTTCATGGTTACTTAAAAGGGATCTATAGGGATTCTGTAGGGGTATAGGCTAGGGTTTAGGGCCTACTTGGAGGTTCATGGTTACTTAGAAGTTAGAAGTAGGGTTATAAGTGGGACAACTGTAGTTATAGCCCACATTAAGTAGGATAACTGTAGTTATGACCCGTATGAAGGGAACTTATCACCCCACTTATAACTACCCATGCACCTCCAAGTAGGTCAACAGTTCGTCTGGCATCCGGACGCGAGCGACCCTCTGGGGAGTGTGGAGTTGCGGGACGGGGTGCCCCTGAGCGTCTATGTCGAGGCAAAGGTGGCTACAAACGGAGGCGGACCAGGGTTGCTGTAAGGGTTACGATGAGGGCTCTTATGCTGGCAACTGTAAGGGCCACTATATCGACAAACACCGTCATCTCTAAACCCTAAACCATAAACCTTAAACACTATCATGGTCTTGATCATCGTCGTCGTCGGCGTGCACTGTCACGAGTCATTGCCCTTCTCCCCTGCAATGCCGTGTACTACAACATCACATAGTTCTATATACTATAGTATACCATAGTATACTGAAATATCCTGCAGCAGTAATGATGACTATTGATATTTCGGGCAGCGGCATGTCTGACTGGCCGCTCCTGAAACCCAAGCTTGCGGTTTAGGGTTTAGGGGTTTAGCGGTTAAGTTAAGGGTTTAGCGGTATGTGAGTATATTATGGCACAACCACGTGCCTCTTGGCGGCCCCAACCCAGCCCTAAGACCCAAAGCCAGAAGCCTGAAGCTTAAACCCTCAACACCTAAGCCCCAAACCACAAAATCCTAAACCCTAAACCATTCCAGATACCAATAGGCAGATGGAAGAAGCCTCGCAAAAGAAGACCCTAAACCCTAAACCCTAAAGACCCTAAACCCTAAACCCTGAACCCTAAACCCTAAACCCCTAAACCCTACACCCTACAGACCCAAAAACCAACCTGAACCCTCTGGCCGGGACACCCGAAGCTACCGGGTTTCTTCAGGTTCTGATGGGGTAACGGGGTCTACAAGGGCTATTTCGGAGTTTCTTCAGGTTCTGATGTCCCTGCTCGCCTTGACCTCGCGCTCCTGCTGCCAGACCTGGAAAGAGCTCATTGAGTCCCCAGAGAGCCCAGTAGTCCTCCCCTTATAGATCCCTTTAAGGAGCCCCTTAAGGACAGGGTAGAGGAGGAGGGTTTCAGGAGGATTTTAGGGGCTTGGGGTTTAGAGGTTTAGGGTTTTGGGGATTCAGGAGGGCTTAGGGGTTTAGGGCTTTAGGGTTTGGGGGTTTAGGGGTTTAGGGCTCAGAGGTCTGAGGACTTCTTGGGGACGAGGGTTTAGGATAAAAGATGCCCCGGTGCGCCTCTTGAGCCTTCATGACTTGTAGTTGAACAGACCGTAATCTTAAGGGACAAAAGAAGTCAGATTCTGGGGGTTTATACGGGACTTTGGGACTCTTTTCGAGCTGAGGGGCTCTGGTCAGACTTCTGCATTGAGCGTCGGTCGGGTTGCGGATTGGACTTAGACTTAGAATTCAGCAGCTCAGTTGTGTGGGTAGTTCGTGAGGCCCGGCTGTCCCCAGTCGCAAGGTATGGTTTTTGGGTTTAAGGTTTTCGGGTTTGGGGCTAGCTTGTTTGGGGTCTCATGGTTTAGGGTCTTGGGTTTCAGGGGTACAGGCACTTCCTTTACTCTGTTTGAGCAGGGCTTTGGCCCTGGAAGCTTGCTGAACCCGAAATGCCAACTCTGAAGCCTGCTAACTCACGACCAGAGAACCAAAGCCAAGAACACCCGGGTTTAGAGTTTAGGGTTACATCCATGGCTATGGTAGTTTAGGGTTACATCCGGTGCCCAAGGAGAATCCGGCAATGCAGGCCAAGGGCCTCTTCAAAGCAACCAAGGAACAGCAGGCCCGGTCACGAAGAACTAAACACACCTCAACTCCATGGCCCTAAAGCCCTATTAGAAACCCCGTAAGCCCCTAAACAGCCCTATAAGCCCTGAAAACCCTAAGCCGCGGCTTGAATAATTACCTATACCAGTGTGGGCTTCCCTACTATATTTCTTGTATAATTTATAGTATACTATACCCCAAAACCCTATTGTCAAACTTGGAGCTTAACTCGCTCTGAGGGTCTCTACTCAAGAGGGTGCACCAGTCACTCTGTTTTTCTTTGCTCGCCCTGACGTTCAGTCCGCTTCACCCCAAAACCCTATTCTAATTATTAACTTATGGCCCTTGTAGTAAGACTTTTTGAAAACGCAATCGTGGGCAAGGATCGATCTGGATCCCGCCTTCCATGCCCTCAGGGGCCACGCCACGGAGCAGGTTGAGGGGCTCCGCCGCACGGCTTTTCGGAGGGCTTCCTTCGAAGTACTTACGGTCTGGTTTTCGGGTTGTTGCAGAGGATGTGTCTGTTGATTTCGCAGTAGTTCTGTTTTAAATGCGCTTTTTACGAACATTTCGGGTTTTGGGCGAGGCCATGTAATTGGGGAAGAAACCTCTTTACTGCATAGGAAGGCAGAAACCTCTTAACTGCATAGGAAGGAACCTCGTCATCCAGGGTTTTGGAGTACTTTCCCAGAGACTCCAATATCCCTTAATTGAGGAATATTCCTTAAATTATAGTAGGATCCCTAATATGATTTAAGGAACATTCCTTAATTAAGGGATATTGGAATCTCTGGGTTTGTTCCTGAGGGATTTAAACTTTCGGGCTTCGTAAGTTGTGTTAACCTGCCACTCCCACACACGGACGCAAAAGCCCTAATGCGTTGGGAAACGGGCAGTGGGTTTTGAGGGTTTAGGGTTTAGCCCAAGCGTCCAAGTGCGAGACCCGCAGCGAAGGTGCCTTGCAGGAGTTGGGTGGCCGCTGTCCGGAGAGAATCTTGGAAGCCGTGTGCCCGTGCTTCGGAGGCCTCGAGTGTGCCGCAACGTCTCATCCGGCCCTCGAAGATTTGTGTTGCATCTGTGTCTCAGCTAGCTCGTGCTCCACCTCATCAAGTTCTGTGGTCACTTTAGGGTTCGCGCCCTTCTGTTCTCGTTGCACGAGTAGTCTTTTTCACGCCATGTGGACTGTTTACCTTGGCTCTGTCCTCTCTCCCTCTCAATCTGTATATCTATCTCCTCTGCTTCTCTCTCTCTGTCCCTCTGCTTGACATCTCGGGTATCTCCAGCCCGGCAATCATCCAGTCCCTTTCGCTCGACTCCCCGCTACCTCTCCCACTTCCCCCCAGTCCCCTTCACTTGCATTGCAGTCTGTCTATCTGTCTTCTATCACTTTCACTTGGCCCGCCCTTCTCATATACATGATCGGCCCCCCTCTTTCGTCAATGCTCCACTTCCCTTCACGGGATCGCGCCCTCTGCAACTCGCGCAAACGTATTTGGGACTTTCCGAATATAGGGGACCCTAATATAGTACCCTAAAACCTAGGATCCTTATCACAAGGACCCCAAAATACGGTACCCCTAATTTTCGGAAACTCCCATTTAGACACTTGGAGAGGAGCGAGGCGCGCGCGAGATCAGCACCGCGTTATAATCCAGAAGAGCAACCCTTGGAGACACGTTGCACAGGTTTTGAACAGCAACAACAAAGCGCACAGAAGGAAAGTGATCAGGAAATTTGCGTACAATCGAATCGCTTGAAATTACGAAGAGAGGTGAGTGATACCATGTCGAAGGGTCTACTGCGCCCGAGATAAAAAGAGGATGATTCATCCACATGGAAGGAATTAGAGAGTCTGAGGGGAAAGGTAACCGTCTAAAGACAACTACCGATTTGAAGGGAGTCTGAGAAGGTGTTCAAAGGGAGTCGCTGAAGAGGACTACAGACTTTGCAGGGCTACAGTAAACCCCAGAAAGTTGGAAACCGGATTAAGGACAAATAGTGCTGGGATTCCCTATACATTACTCTTAAGGATTGAGGCTATTGGGTTTCCAACTTTTGGGCCTCTACTGTAGACACAGGACATGAGACAGCACGCTGCGTGAATGAGACTACAAAGTTTTCGTCCAAAGGCTGATCTTCTCGGAAACAGTGTTGCTTCAGATTTGGGAGTTTCCGATCATTTGGGGTACCTCATGATGGGGTCCTTGTAGTAAGGATCCTGCTACTTAGGGTGCCGTATGAGGGTCCCTATGTTCGAAAACCAACACTTCTGCACCTCGCCAGTCATTTCCATCGGTTTGCTGCTCGCGAGTTGCTCTTTCGAAGTTTTGCCTCCGTCACACAGCCCCAGAAGTCTCACACAGTTTAGACAAGTGTAGACTTTAGACCACCCCCTTGGAGCGCCTAGACACAATGAACATGCTTCAACTCCCGGCCAGTAATGTAGGAACCTGATTAAGAAACCCTGGTCCCATAACCCCCAATATAGTAGGATTCATAGAAGGAGCCCTAATAAAGGCCCAGGGTTTCTTAATCAGGTTCCCACAGTAGCAGGTGACGACAAGGTCGCCGACGAAGCCCTGAGCTGCATCCGTGCGGTGCTGCAGCCCAGTGTCGACTTGGCGGCGCAGTTTCTCTTGGCGACTCCCTCTTTCAGCCAGCCTCATGGCCGAAATAGAGGGGAAGAGTCATTAATGTAGGGGTCTGAATATACGACTAGAACAGGGTTCTCGGGTATATTCTACTACAATCATAATTAAGGAACCCCCAGCATAGTTTAGGTAGTTATTAAGGCCCCTGTATGAACACAGTTCCAAGCTCTGAGAGCGAGTGCAGCAGAGACGCGGGATGGCCAGTTCTTGCTCAAAGCTCTGCATCTCTACACTCTAGCTCTTAGGGTTCCTTTAAGGATCCCTTTAAAGGGATCTAGAGGTATTCTCTAAGGGTATAGGGTTTAGGGCCTACTCGGAGGTTCATGGTTAAACAAAAGTAAGGGAGTAAGTAGGATAAGTATATATAGTTATAACCCATACTAAGGGACTTCTAACCCACTTATAACTACCCATGAACCTCCAAGTAGCACTCGAACCCCACAACCCCCGCCAGACCCTCGTAGAAGTCCCTGTAGAAACCTTATAGGACCCCTTCGTAGAACCCACTTTTTCTCAAGCACATTTACAGGAACCCTTATGAAACACCACTGTGTGCACTGTAAAGGCTTGGGGACATAAACTAAAACCCTTTTCTGGGCTATTAAGGCCTCGAAATCAGAACCCGTATCAGAAAGGTTATAGTGCAGATAGAAACTTTAGAGGAATCCTGAAGCCTAACCCCAAACCCGAACCCTAAACGCCAAATCCTGAAGCCTACAGCCTAAACCCAAGAATCCTTGGAGGAACCGTAAGAGGAGCCCTTTAAAGATGGCACCCTTCAAGGCTTAACGGAACCCTTAACTTTTGGTTAGTAGGGAATGGAAGAATGGTAGTAATAGTAGTTCAAATTGTGCCCCATTCCTCCATTCCCTACTAACCAACGGTAAGTTAAAGGAACCCTAAACCTTAAATCCTAAACCCCTAAACCCTAAACCTTAAAGGAGCCTTTAAAGGAAGCCGCCCGAGGTCCCCGCAGGCCGTCCAGGCTGCGCTCTTTCTAGGCCCCGACTCTCCCGAAGTGTTGGCCGGCCTAGCGTCGGGCCTCTTAGCCAAGTGCCTTGGCTCTTGCTTTGGGGCTTAGGGTTGATTTTCTATAACATATTATACTATATCGTATTGTACTATGTTTTTGGTTTACGGCTTTGTGGGTTTTTTGGCCTTTGGCACTGAGTTTGGCTCCTTGTAAGGGTACTGGGGATTAAGGGTTTGGGGCTTAGGGGTTTAGGGTGCTATAAGGGTTTTGGGGTTTAGGTCTTTGTCCTTTGGCACTGAGTTTGGGGTTTAGGGTTCATGGTTTTGGTCTTTGGCACTTAGTTGGGGGTTTAGGGTCTTTGGCACTTAGTTGGGGTTTTAGGGTTTATTGTATTGTTGTATTGCTTTCTACCATATTATAACGCAATATACTATATTACATTCGATGTTATTACATTTTGCTGTACTATATTATCTTATATCATATAATATTGTAGTACATACCATATCAAGTGCTTTTATTGTACTATATGCCAGCATGATACCTTCGAGTTATTCCATCATGATACCTTCGAGTAATTTCTTTTACATCATACAATGTTAAAACATTGTTGTAGTATACTAGATGGATTTATTATACTACATTGTAACACTTTGCGTTCTAGTTTATTATCCTTTTACATCATATCAGGTCATATCATACCATTTCATCTTATTTCTTTATTATATAACTTGTAGATTGAGTTATGTTATGTTTTTCTAGTATATTGTATCTTTTTGTTGTTTATTGAACTCTTTGTAGTATGATATATCATATTCTGTCATATTTCATCATATCAAATCGCATTACATACTTTCATTTTATGTCCTATCTTATTTTGTTGTGTTGTCTCACAGCATAACATATTATTTGTAGTATATGATCTTTTGCTACCTTCTATTATATGATGTCATATTTCAATACTAGATGTTTCACCATGGTGTGTGAGGGCATAGAATAAGATGCTAGGCTAACGTATACTACATTTCATTCTGTTGTATTATACTATATTCGATTACATTGTATCATATCAGAAAAGATGTTGTTGCTGCGATATTCTACGAGAACTTCTTGTGTTTTACTTTTCTTTACGATCCTATACTATCTTGTTTCATGTCACGTCACATGAGAGGTTATTATGCTATACTATACTATATCATAGTCTTGTTCAGGCATGTGGTACTATACTACTAGATTACAATAACATTTGCTATGCCATATTCCTTTTCTACTGTATATATATATATATATACATACATACATGTCTGCATGCAAACCCTAAACCCTAAACCCTAAATCCTAAACCCTAAACCCTAAACCCTAAACCACATGACTGAGGAACAGGAAGGCCTGCCTGGAAGCCTTCGAAGAGCTCGAGCCACGCCTGGCTCCAGCGCACGGCATCCGATGTTTGTTGGAGTCCTTGCCTTTTGGACTGTGCAGAGTGGCTTAGTACAGGGGCTTTAATAATTACCAACACTATTTTGGGGGGTTCCGTATTATAGTTATAGTATACCGGGCCTCAAAACCCTATTCTAAATTGTCAAGGCCCCTGTATTAACGCTGTCGGTTTGGGGTTCAGGATTCAGGGTTTAGGGATTTAGGGTTCGCGGGTTTGGGTTTAAAGTTTAGTCGGTTTCAGGATTGAGGGTGAAGCTTTCTTGATGTTTCCTGTCGTGCACAATCCTGGGGTTTACTGCTCCTGAACACGAACCTTACAACCGAAGACCTGCAAGCGCTAGACCGAGAGTTTGCTCACAACCCCAGGTCTTAAACCACACAAGCCTCTTTGGCAAAGAGAGCCCTTAAGAAGCAAAATGCTAGACGCCCGAAAATAGGGTTCCTTATACAAACAGACAGTTCGAATTCTTGAGGCCCCTACATCAGACAGGCCTTATGACACCTTTAACCGAACCCTTAAAGGAGCCTATCCTAATTACTAAGGTCCCCATAAACCCTAAACCTCTAAACCCTGAAACCCTTAAAGGAACCCTTAAACCCTTAAAGGAACCCTTAAACCCTTAAAGGAACCCTTAAACCCTTAAAGGAACCCTGAAACCCTTAAAGGAACCCTATCCTAACTACTCAGGTCCCCATATCCGCCTTAGATTTTGATTGCCCGAGGTTCCGGAGAGAGTCGGTCGAGTCCACGGACTGTCTCCCTGAGGCGCCTTCAACGCTACTCTAAAGGTTCGGTTTTGGGATTTTTAGGGGGTGCTTTAAGGCTGCTGCAAAGGTTCCTTGAAGGGTTCCTTCAAGGATGTCTGGGGCCGTTATACAGGTTTTCGATGGCTTTGTTTCAGGAGGATCTTAGGATTTGGGGGGGATTTAGGGATGTAGCCTTTTTGGGTGGGTCCCTAAACCGATTACGAGGCTTGGCACTACACAGGGTCCACGTTTCCTTAACCCACCATGGCCTGCTTTCTAGAGCCACTATAATGTTCTACACCAACGTAAACACCACACTGATCGAGACTGTACAAGATCATTATAGTAGGTTGGTAGAGATTTGGAGGTTGCTTTGGGGTGTTGACGACTTCTTGGAGGTTCATGGCTGGTTAAAATTAAGTAGGATTGCAATGGGATAACTCTCGTTGTAACCCATATTACAGGAGTTATCACCCACTTATAACCCAAGAACCTCCAAGTTTGTCATAATGTTAATAACCCCCGCAGCACTCTCACTTGCGATCTGCTCGCATAGATTAGTCTGCAAGCATTTCTCCCTAAGCCCTCAACTCGAAACGCTCAACCCCAAGCCCCAACCTCTAAACACTAAACCCCACAACCCTCAACCCCTAAACCCTAAACCGTATCAAACCCTGAAACTATAGTCACATTAGGAATCAGTTCATATAACACCCAAGAGAATATTAAACATCCAATCTTCATCATGGTTCTAAGGGGTTAGAGTAATTTATTGCAAAACCCGAACCCCAAGCAGCAGTTACAAACAGACACATATGCCTCGCATGCGCCATTGTCCGTAATCCCACGGTCGCCACTTTCCAGTTTCTGCCGGAGCAGTCTTATTATACTATACTATACTTTACTATACCACATTACAGTAACCTATAGTATATTATAGTAGCACCGTAATCGAAGGGTCTGAAAGTGAAGCTGTTCAAAACAGAGCTTGGCTTTGAGCCCTCATGCCGCACCCTACATGCCCGGCAGCTTCCCAAACTCCCACTTCAAACCGACAATCGAAAACCGTGGTAGCTGTCTCTGATTTGCGAACATAGGGGTTTTAAATAAGTACCAATACTATTTTTTGGGGGTCCTTTTTATCATCATAGAAAATGGGCCCCGAAGAACCCTATTCTAAGTTTTTGAGGCTCCTGTATTATCCCCGGGCCCTGAACTCAGAGACTCCAATATCCCTTAATTAAGGAATATTCCTTGAATTATATTAGGGATCTAAAATTTAAGGAATATTCCTTAACTAAGGGATATTGGAGTCTCTGGGAATTCAGCGAAGCAGGCTCTGGCTAGGGTCAACTCCCGAGACCACGAGGCCTTGGTGGAGGCCGGGCAGGGCTCCTCCCGCCGGAGTCTCTGGGTTTCCCGAAGAGCCCAATACCCCCTTAATTAAGGAATATGCCTTAAATGATAAGGGGATTCATATTATGATGTAAGCTATACTCCTTAATTAAGGGGTATTGGAGTCTCTGGGTTTGTTGCCGTCGCATAGGCTTAGTACTGTTTCTGGTTTGTGTAGGCAGCTTGAATATGCCAGGTTCCTGCGGATCCCCACAACTGCTTGGAACGCCTGTGATCAAGGTCTTTTCAGCTTGCAGCGTCCTTTGTCGGCTTTGTTTTGCATGAGGCTTCTGGGATTTTAAGGCGGACGTAGTCCAATCCCAGTGGAGGAGTCCGGATCTCGATCTGTGGCATGGTTTCAGGGTTCTCGACTGCTTCTGGAGACCTTATGAATCAGAGTCAGGCTCGACGATGGTTGCGAGCCCAAAGCTTTGACTCAAGAGCACCGGCTTGTTCTTGGTTCTTGCAGTTCATTAGGATCACATCGGGTGTAGAGAGTGCTTCGTACTCCCATCTCGCCCTTGCCTGAGAACTCACCCTGACCCTGCCCGTCACCCCTCAAAGAGGCCCCTTTAAACACCCGGCAGCATTCATGCGAAACGGAACCGGCAGGCCCTGCTGGGCTACTTCGGCCCGCAGCAGCCCGGCTGGGTGTTGACAAGGGCGAGCTTCTGCGCGACCCTCGTAGCTCAAGGACAGCCTTGCCGCACTACGGCGTCACTACGGCTTCTTCTCTTTGCACTCTTCTTTGCTAATATACGCTGTTTCTTAGTAGCTGCGACGGGAGAGCTGCTTTCAGCGATGCCCACAATTGAATACGCTACTGCTGCTTCTTTATTCCTGCTGTCTTTGCTCGTGCTGGTGATGCCGGTGACGGTCGAAGCGGTTCTGGTGTTGTTGCCCTAGAATGCCGGAACACATTATTTTCTCGAGGAATAGGGACCAGGAGAAAAGAACCAAGTAAAGATATACAGAATATTTCGGTATACGAAGACGAAAAAGATATGAGTACAGCACAAGACAGATAAGTATGAATAAACAAATATACACAAAAACTCAAAAAAAAAGGTTCAAGCATATCAGTACAAATCCAAATATAACCCATATTAACATGAACATAAATTCAACTTGGGTACTGGCATCCCACCACCTTGCAGCAGTCTATATGAAGGGTCACTATTCGGGCTGTATGTAGCTAGTCTACAGAGATTATGCAACTGTTGCAGAGTTGGGGGAAACCCCAAATATCAGCGTACATAAAAATGTAAATAAGCATAAACAAATACATAACTGGAATAAGCACATAAACGCATAAATATGTATATATATATATATATACACAGATATTTAGACTAACAATTTCCGCCTCTTTCTCTCTCTATACATATATATGAACCACGTCGGACCTCTATACACCAACCTACATATAACATGCCGGAGATGCTGTAGACTGCCGCAGATGAGCGCCAGAGGGAGCCCTCTCCGCTTGCGACCAGCGCTTTGCAACATGATTTCCTCTACGCTTGCAACCAGCGCTTTGCAGCACGATTTTGACCATGAAACCTTAGCCATCAGAACACGACCCGGAAACCCTAGGCCCTGTAGACCCTATGGCCCTAAACGTTCGCGAGTGCAAGGACAGGAGGAGCGCTTGGTGCAGGCCCTTCGCGCGTCTCTGAGCTACGTGCATGAGCAGCTGGGCTTAGCAAGACTGACTGAAACCTGGGGGCCATGGTTTGGATTGCATGGTTTGGATTGGGGTTTAGGGTTTTGGGTTTAGGGTTTTTGAGTTCAGGGACGGGTTCAGCGTTTGTATCCCTTTCGCGAAGTATCTCTCGGCTTCAAGCCCGCATCTTCCCAAACGTCCCGCATCAGCGAAGCCATATTCATAATTACCTATACTATTTTGGGGGGCTCTTGACGATAATTCTAGTACCATATAGCACGATGGGGCCCAAACCCTATTCTAATCATTAAGTCATCAAGGCCGCTCGAAGCTCTAAACCTCCCAGCACCATTCAGCCCCCAAGCCACAAGACCCCTCCCCTAAACCCTAAACCCCAAACCCTAAACCCTAAACCCTAAACCCTAAACCCCAAACCCTAAACCCTAAACCCTAAACCCTAAACCCTAAACCCTAAACCCTAAACCCTAAACCCCAAACCCCAAACCCTAAACCCTAAACCCTAAACCCTAAACCCTAAACCCTAAACCTACTTGTCTGAAGCCCCAAAGCCTTATTTCCCCATGAGCTCTTCCAGTCCCTGGAGTCCGTGGAGGTCGGAGCAGTTGGCGATAAAGGTTTCAGGGTTTAGGGTTTCAGGGTTTAGGGTTTAAGGTTCAGGGTTTAGGGTTTAAGGTTCAGGGTTTAGGGTTTAGGGTTTAAGGTTCAGGGTTTAGGGTTTAAGGTTCAGGGTTTAGGGTTTAGGGTTCAGGGTTTAGGGTTTAAGGTTCAGGGTTTAGGGTTTAAGGTTCAGGGTTTAGGGTTTAGGGTTTAAGGTTCAGGGTTTAGGGTTTAAGGTTCAGGGTTTAGGGTTCCGTCTAGTTCTTTTACAGTCGAAGTATCCAGTCGCGTATCACAAAATCTGCAAAGCCCTTTCGGACACCCTTTCCTCAAACTTTTGTGATAAACATCAGTACACCAGTAAACCATCCAAAACCTTTTCTCAAAATCCTAAGCCCTCGAACCTTGATTATTCAACCCAAGCCCCCCCCCCAAAAAAAAACCGGCAAATCTGGATTATCAGTTAACTGCCCTTTTGGAACGAGCATCACTTTAAAGGAACCCTTAGAGATCCCTTTGAAGGAACCCGTAATGCTTATAGACCCTAAACCCTTAAAAAACCTAAACCCCTAAACCCCTAAGCCCTAAACCCTTAAACCCTAAACCCCTACACCCCTTGAGCCTTAGACTCTAAACCCTTCAACCCTAAACCCCTAAACCCTGAACCCCTAAACCCCTAAACTTTTAAACCCCTAAACCCTCTACACCCCTTGACCCTTTTTCAAGGCATGAGCTTCTGGAGATCTCCAGCCGCCTCCTGGGTCTCTCCTCAGCCGCCAAGCCCCTGGTGGTAGAGGCTCTGGGGGTTTATAGTAGCGTTTAGGGCTTCGTGCGTACTCATAATTGAGGGTTCCGGGATTTGGGCTTAGGGTTTATAGTTTAACTTTCTGGCTTCTACTGTAGGGGTGTTTATACTGGGATTCATATTATGATCTAAGCTATATTCCAAGGGGTATTGGGCTCTCTGGGGTTTAGGGGTTTTAGGGTTTAGGGATCCTTTAAGGGGTTCCTTTAAAGGGTCTCTGAAAGGGGTTCCTTTAAAGGGATTCACAAGGGGTCCTTTGAAGGGATCTATAAACGGGTTCCTTTTTTGGGATCTATAGGGGTGTAGGGGTTTAGGGGTTCCTTTAAAGGAACCCGTAGGGTTCCTCTAAGGTTTAGGGGTTTAGGGTTTAGGGGTTTAGGGGTTTAGGGGTTTAGGGGTTTAGGGGTTTCGAGGTTTAAGGGGTTTAGGGGTTTAGGGGTTTAGGGGTTTCGGGGTTTCGGGGTTTAGGGGTTTAGGGGTTTAGGGGTTCAGGGTTTAGGGTTTAGGTGTTTAGGGGTTTAGAGGGTGAGTGTCTTGCAGGGTTTTGCCTGTTGGAGTTTCTGGTTGAGGATTTGGAGCTGAGGCTTTGCAGTTGATTAGTGCTTAGGAATAACAAAGCATTGATGTTGAGGTTTGGGTTTTCAGGGTTTTGGGTTTTGGGTTTCAAAGGGGCTTGTGCGGTGACGAGCTTGGCATTGCGATTATTGCGAGCTGACATGAGTGGGAGCATGGAGTCTGATTTCTGGTGCCTTCCACAGTGCAGAGTGATGAGTCCGGAAAGTGCCACCTTGCAAGCTGCAAATCCATTGAAGATCCAAGGCCCCCAAAGCCCCCAGAGCCCTAAAGCCTAAACCCTAAGCCCGAAACCCTAAACCCTCTGCCGATCAGAAGTCCTGAATCCTTGCAGCTTCAAGAAGACATTTCCTGCAGGCCTTGTGCCGCGAACTACACCAGGCAGGAGGGTGTCAAGTCAAAGGGCTCCAAGGGTGCGATGAAGGGACCCTTAATGGGGACCCCTACCCTATAATGGGCTATATAATGGGTATATAATAGCTATATTAAGGGTAATTTGAACATGAGAGTCCTTACACTATCTTCTCCTTGGGAATTATAAAGCCCAAGAGAATATCAACAACGATATATTTTTATTATGGGTCTAAGGGGGGTATAGTACAGCATATATGATGCAGGGCTGCCACACCCCCTCTTCTCCCCGACCCCATGGTATCCTCCCTCCTTCCCCGCCGCCCCCCCTTTGGTGTGGGGCCTGTGGTGGTACTCTTTTTGCCGCGACGTTCTTAAGTGCTACTCCTTTTCTTCCCTCTTGCTGTGGCACCGGTGATACTGCTCATGATGTTGTGCAGCTCTAGACGGGGACATGAGTCGACAATCAGACCATGCTCAACATCATCCTTGTCGTCGTCATCTTCATCATTAATACCTTCAAGAATATCTGCCACCGTCACCATCGGCATACAACTCTCATAATTCAGCATTGCAAGTCATGTCAGATGCTGAAACTATTGTGCCGATTGCCGCTGCCCGCGCACGGCAGGGCATAGCGCGACACTCCCGATCCGCGCACAAGGATCAAGGGGCGGGCAAGGTGCGGGCCGGGGGCGGGCGTGCAGCAGCAGGGCAGCAGGGGGGGTGGGGGGGATACCATTGGGGGGGGGGGGTGGCGGCCCGGACCCGAGAGCATATATGGGATCCTTCATCCTGCCTACCTTCATCCCACCTTTTGAGGCCTCCAAGGATGTGTTGGGGGCTCGTTGGTTCGAAGCGGGCGCCACGATCCAGAGGATTCCATTGCTTTGTTTCGTAGCTTCATCAAGAGGCTGCCACTGCCTGAAACAGCAACTATACTACACTGCTGTGCTGCAGGTGACCTCCACGCACCTGCGAGAAGCACTCCTTGAAGAGATTGGAAAGCTGGCTGCCCCGGACGATCCAGCCGTCCTCAACGCTCTTGTGACCTTTCTCTCGCAGTCCGCGTTGTTGCTGAAACGGCAGGGTGACTTGTCAATGCTGCGGGCTCTGAAGGTCTTGAACCACTTGGATCAGAGCGAAACCTTCCTCCAGCGTGGCCGCCGGCACCTTCTGCGGGCTCTGGCGAGGTGTGCGACCTGCTCCCCCGGGTTCTGGGATAAGCAGATGCGGAGATGCTTGATCAAGTTGGGACAAGAACACGGAGGGATCGATCACGAAGCATTGATCGAGCTGTGCCATGGGTTGAGGTGTCAGAATGCGAAGACCAGGCGGTCTTGCTGCAAGATCTGGGCGCAGGTCGAGAAGAGGGAGCCGCAACGTGCGAGAAAACTTTTGCTGGAGATGATCAGTGGCGAGGAATACGCCTGGGCGAAGCAAGCCGCGATCACTCTGCTCGACGGAGCCGAGGTGCAAAAAGCCGGTAGCTCTGAGGCTGAGGATGTCCGTGCCACGCTTCTCCGGGTTGCCGACGACCGAAGCCTCCCGTTGCCACTGCGCTCGGAGGCCCTTGGGGCTCTCAGGCCCTTCGCACGGGGCGTAGGCGAAGGTGGCGAAGGTGGTGAAGCCCTGCGAAAAGCGGCGCTGAGCTGCACTGAAGAGGCCTACGACGCCTCGGGCTTGGTGCTGAAAGCGCTGGAGCTCTTGGCCGAGGAGACTCCGATCCCCCAAAGCTGCCTCGAACGCGTCCTCCGGAGTTCCGACCCGGATGTTCTGCTCTTCGCTCTCTCTGCTTTGGCGGCGCTTCCCGAAGGAAGCCTTAGTACCTCACTACCGAATAGAAGTAACCCAAATAGTCGGATCCTTATTATTAGGACACCGAAACCTGAGTAAAGTACCCTAAGTAGCAGGATCCTTAGTATAAGGACACCAAAGTAAGGCTATAGTACTCTACATAGTAGGATCCCTATTTTAAGGAACCCAAAATGAGGCTATAGCAGGATTCTTATCATAAGGACACCAAAATAAGGTACGTCGCTTTTGGAGCCCTTGCTGCACCACCGCTGCTTGGACGTGGCCGTGAGTGCGACTCGAGCTCTTGGCCGACTTCGGGGGGACCGGCGGGCGGCCACCGCGGCCCTTGAGCGAGGCCACCGTTGGGCGTTGGGGTTTAGGGCTTAGGGCTTAGGGTTTAGGGTGCAGGGTATACAACTTAAGTAGTATAGTGTAGCATGCAATATAAAGTCTTCTATTTTGTTGTGTTATATATGGTTTCACTGAAAAAAGTATATTACAACGGATCTCAGCCCTACTTGGAGGTTCATGGTTAGTTCTAAGTAGGGCTTACATAGGAGGATGACTATGGTGATAATCCGTATTTAGGGATCATAACCCCCCTTATCATTGAAACCTTAAACCCCTAAACCCTAAACCTTAAACCCTAAACCTTGAACCGTAATCCCTAAACCCTAAACCCTCAACCATAAACCCTCAACCTTAAACCATTAAACCCTAAACATTAAACCCGAAATCCGAAAACCAGGCGGCTTCTGGCCCGAGACAAGGGAAGCCGTCCGAGCGGCTCGCGAGGAGGCGCTGCGAAACCTCGAGCAAGGCGGCGACGCCGGAGAGTGACGGTTGGGGTGTAGGGGTTTAGGGTTTAAGAGTTTAGGGTCTGGGGTTTAGGGTTCAAGAGTTTAAGGGTTTAGGGTTGAGGGGTTTAGGGGTTTAGGGTTGAAAAGTGTAGGCTTTAGCCCAGAGAGTATTGGGGCCAGTCTAAAAGACTCCATGCTCCAAGCTCTCGGTTCGGGCCGGTTGCTCTGAAGGAGCACCCCGACCCGTCCCCGGCTTGAGACGTGATCCCTTCGACGTGCGGTTCCGTGTCCTGTGTTAAAGGTTGTAGATCCCCTGCCGGTAGGGTTTCGTAGCAGTAGTAGTAGTAGTAGTAGTAGTAGTACTACTACTACTACGACTACTACTACTACTGCTACTGCTATTGCTAGTTAGTATATATATATATTAATTTGATCAGAGTTGTTGGTTCGAACATAAGAGGGTTGGGGTTGAGGATGTTGAGTGGCTCGCCGGTGGCAGAGGCCTCTGCTGGAGAGGGAAAGCAGGAGTCGACTTCCGAATCGCTGCATGGTAATATAGGGGCCGTAATAAGTACCTATACTAGGATGCCCAGTAGTACCCTTATTCCTTTTTTGTAGTCCTACGGTTGATGGTACAAATCCTGCATTACCCATAATGAGGAATGTCCCATAATTCCCACAGTTTGGGATCATTAATGTAATGCAGGATTTCTATCATCAACAGTAGGTTCCTTATAAAGTTACCCAGCACCAAAAAGGGAACCCTTTTTATTCCTCGGCTACTGGGCATCCTAGTATACTATTTCGGGGGTTCCTTACTATATTTGTAGTATAGTTGGGCCCCAAAACCCTATTCTAATAATTAAGGCCCTGATACTAGGTGTCGAAAACCCTCAACCCTAAATCCCAAAGGCCGTACTTTGGGCTCAATCTACAGAGCAGCTTGCAACGGGAAAGAGCCACCTGCCACCAGCTCTCTCCTCTGTCTGCTGAGCCCCGATCCTTGGATCCCTACTTTTGTAGACTCTTGCAGGCAGGTTCTCAGCTTCTCACGGATGATTCTAGATGCTTCTGTCATTGTCAACTGCGGGTCCTTCGCGTTGAACCCCTAAAGCCATGCTCTGAACCCTAAACGAGGCTCGACCCCGAAAGCGCAACAGACCTGGGAAGTCGAATCCACAGAGATGGCGGGTCGGAATTTCGAAGCCTGAGGCTTGGAGATACCGTCGTAGGAGCTTTCACACCATGCTCGCCAAGAAGGCACCGCAAAACCTGAACCTCAAGCCCTAAACCCTAAACCCTAAACCCTAAACCCTACACCCTAAACCCTAAACCCTAAACCCTACACCCTAAACCCTAAACCCTAAACCCCAAACCCTAAACCCCAAACCCTAAACCCTAAACCCTAAACCCCAAACCCCAGAGCCCTAAGCCCCACGTCGTCAGGCCTACGCCAACCCAAGACCCCATACCCCAAAGCCCATAACTTTGTCATTGTTGAGTAACATTTTACATTTTTATGGGTACTTAAACCCAATGAGGAATAAACATGTACATGTTTAGTTCTATCCCAACAATGAACTAGATAAGCTTCAACTCTGGGCCCTTAAATTAAACCTCGAACCCACCCTGAGCCCTGAAACTGAAACCTCAAACCCTCAACCCTAAGCCCTAAACCTTAAACCCTAAACTCCCTGAACTACGTAAAACTCGCTAGACTCCCTAAACTCCCTAAACGCTAAATCCTATATTGTCCGAAGTCAGCAGCCCTCTGCGTCTTTAGCGGCCTTTGGGCTCAAAGTGCTGCCTCACTCCCGGCGGAGGGGTTCGGCAGAGGGGCCATGCCGCTGAACAGCCTGCCCGCCTGAGCTTTTCCTGGGCTTTTTCTTTACTTTAGGGGCCTTAATAATTACCTTTACTATTTTGGGGGCTCCTTACTATATTTATAGTATAGTGGGCCCCAAAGCCCTGTTCTAGTTATTATGGCCCCTATATTACCGTAGTGCCCCCAGTAGTTTCAGGATTCGAGAGATTTTATTTGAGGCTGTGTAGCTTGGAGCCTGAAGTTTTTCGGGGCAGGCTTAGAAGGTTGGGTGGGGGCTTGCGTTTCAAGCACCACGGGCACATGCGGAGAAATGCCGGTGCAGACCGGCCAAGGTTTCCCGGTCGATTTTTTTTTACAATACTTGCGGCTACAGCAATTCACTTTTTGTGCTCGTGCTTGTACGTTCGTTTCCGCGACCAGCGACGACGATGTCGACGGTGGTCGAATGTTTTTTTTGTTCCTATGATGGTCCATGCAGTCCTTGGCAATGGTATTGTTAACATCAGTTCCCAGAGTTGTCCTTCTCAGCATTGGCACCACCTCAGTCACCATCACTATCACCATCACCACCATCCTCACAATCACCATCGCCATGCTGACAAGCACTATCGCTATATGACCCTTAACCCTAAACCCTAAACCCTATGGTTCGCGTTGCCGGCCAGGCAAGATTCACATGCCCTTCGCACCCGTCGAGCCGCCCAAGGGCAAGTACGAGATCCGGCCTCAGATTGCATAAAGGGAACTCCAGAAAGTTGGAATATGGATTAATGCTAGGATCCCCTATAGTTTACCTTAAAGGGGTTACGATAATGATATTCCAACTTTCTGGCTTCTACTGTAGGGCAGGGTCAAGGATTTAAGGGTTTGGGCGGTTTGGGGTTTCGGATTTAGAGTGTAGGGGGTTTTGGTCTAGAAAGAGTGTGTTGTGCCACAGTGTAAGCAGTAAGGCTCCGCAAGTGAGCAGTGGTGATGGCCGGTCCGCTGAGGATAGTAATCGCACGATGCTCGTCGAAAGTAGTGAGTATAATATAGTATACTAAAGCATAATATAGTATAGTCTAGTCCAGTCGAGTATTTTCGAACAGAAGCGGACCAACGGCAAGGCCAAGAGGGGTAGCCCTCGTGAAAGGCGTTGGTCGGGTCTGCCCCGAACGTTTGACCCCAAATCATTCAAATTCAGGAAAGGAATTTAGGGGGGCTTTAGGCTTTAGGGTTTAGGGGCTTTAGTGTTTATGGATTCATTGACCTTAATTTCAAAATCCCGAGCCCAAAACCCTAAACCCTGAATTCCAAACCCCGAGCCCCAAACGAAAAGCGGCCCTTAAACCCTCCGGGAAGGCTTCATGGGAGCGGTAGCTTCAGCGAGAGCACGAATATAGGCGCCTCAATAGTTATCAATACTAATTTGGGGGTTCCTTACTATAGCTATAGCATAACAGACACTCAAACCCTATCCTAGTTTTTTTTAGGCCCCTTCTTTTGTTCAGCTTCATGGAAGCCCTCCCCGACACCTGGAGCCCCCGAACTCCCAATCCTTGTCAGAAATTCCCCTCAGGTCCACACAGACGATGTTGGAGTACATCAAGAAGGGCGTGCATGACACCGCCCCTCTCGATGTTTCGGATTTCCGGGTAGCTCCTGGGTTCTTGCTGACTGCTTTGGGATAGTTTTTGCGGTCTTCCAAGCAGGGCCCTTAGACTTCGAGTCCTAGGCCACGTTTTTTTCAGCATGGCTCAAGCGCTTTTCGGGGGGGCTTCGTGGCTTTTGGGCTGTGGTGCTCAGCTCAGGGCGATCGAGGAGTCTGCACCCTGCAAGGCTCACCCGACCTCGGTAGAGCTTGTGACAGGCAGAACGGAAACCTTCAGGCTTAATTCTCCAAACCCTTTGAAAATCTGACAGCGCGCCGTCAAACATTATACCGTCCCCGGAGGACAAGAGCCTCAAGAGAGATGCCGGCAAGCCGCCAAAGCACATGTACGAGCACACGATCGAGGCCGGAAAAGGGGCCTTCACATTTGGGCTATGCCGGGTTTGGGGCTCCAGGGTGTGAGGAATTCAGGTTTTCGGCACGGAGGGAAACCTCGTGGTGGTTTCGGTGTTGCTGATTTAAGTTTAGGTTGAGACTACACACTCAAGGTAGCTACAGTCTTACTCAGCGACCGGAAGTTTAGCAGTAGGTTTTGGGTTTACGGTTTAGGGTTTAGAGGTGGGGGGTGCTTTCGTAAGTTGTCATGGCCGGTTCGGAAAGCCCAGCGCGAAAGAATACGCCAAGACCAGACGACTCGCAGCGAGGTGACCAGACAGTTTGGGGTCCGTAATGTATGCCCCGGGCTTCTCTGAACAATACTATACGCAAGAAGAAGTTGCGGTGGTGGTTCGCGCAATCTGCTTTTGTGTATGCTGAAGCTTTGTTTGGACTTGTTTTGGTGCTCCGGAGCACCACGATCGCGCGTTATAGCCCGTGTGAGCAGCCCTGAACTTTAGGGCCTGTGCTGACTTACCGGACACTTCATCCCAGTGACCTTGCCCATAGGTCAGATGGTCCGAAGATGGTGGTCCGATTGGGAAGGAGAAGTTCAAGAAGAAGTGATGGTATGCCGGTTCGAGACTGCGTCTCTTTGAGCAAAGTGTTCAGTTTCATCATTTACACACAAGAGCCCCCGACTCCCTAAGCTCACGTCGCAGAGCCATGCTTGCCTTACAAGGGATGCATGACATGGAACCCCACCAAAATCCGAACCCTTAACCGAAGCCGTCCACAGCAAGCCCCCGAGCAAGTGAACACGTAGTGCGAAGTCGTATTTGCTCGACATTCCTCGACGAAAGCAACAGAAAAGACGTGCGTGGCCTCATGTCCCCATGTATCCCCTGGTCTAGTCTATAGTTGGGAGAGTATTAAGCATGCAAATTTCTTTTCTTTATGGGGTTTACTGTAAGAACCCCTAAGAATGCAACAGTTATCCAACTATGGCAAAGGGTCCCCAAGATTCACTCAGCAACCTCAGATTCAAGAATGGAGAGGTCGATAACGCCCAGCGGCCCTGAAGTGCCCGTGTCCGTTTTTTCCCCGCAGCTTCGGGATCAACGGCAAGCCTGCGCAAGGCTGAGATTGCCGGAATAGGGGTGCATATTCCAGGACTTCTGAACCTGTTTAGGGCAGACGCAGCATGGCCAAGGCGCAGGAAGGCCACCGAATTTCACGCGCCGGGTGT